ATTGTTGTTTTTTGTTTGCATTTCACCCGGTGCTTCAGAGGGATCTGCAGCATCAACAAAACACACAAAAGCAAAATACCCACAGAATCCCTGTTTTAATGCAAATAAAGCGTGCTGTTAGATCAGTATCCAAAGGCTCAAATATCCAAATAATCCTTGGAGTATCCAGATTATCATTAGCACTCAATCATTATTATTGTTCTTTTTTGTTCCTCGGGAGCACAGGGGTTTCCAGTTGCAAATTTCTCATAAGGTGGATCATCTGCCCGTTGTTTTGGGATCCTACTTTCAGTGTTTACTCTTGTTTTTATAGCAGCTGTCACATTAAGAACAACAGAGCATGTAATGGCATGAGGAGGGTTTTTTTCTGGGGATTGCAGCAAAAGGCTGATCAAATTTCAGTGTTTCTTAAAAGTTTCTCTGCCTTGACAGGCAAGTAATGGCTCCAGCACAAGATACATTGAGGTTCAGCTGTGGTGACTGTATGGCAGCGACATAAAGCAATGTATGGCAATTCCAAGTGCATCCTATGTGTCACACATAAGTGAATTCGTAGATCTGTGGCAAATACAGCTCCATTACTTCCTAGTCCTGCTAAAACATCTGTGCATTTTAGTGCATCTGCTCACCTGCATTAATTATTTACAAAGGATAATGTGTTGGAGCCACTATAATGACAAGATTGTTTAAGTCAGGAAGCACCAGGAACAAGACACCCAAAGTCACAGTGTAGCCTCCTTAGTCATCTCCACCAGTATCCACATTTCTCACCTCAGCATGGTATGTTATTTAAATTATTCTATGGAGCCACACAGAATTATTTCTGGTGTTTCATCCCCACTCCTACTATGAATGCTGAGAGATTTAGAAAAATTTATCCTTTATATGCATTCATGAAGTAGAAATCAATCATCACCTCCTGTTCCACACTCGAAATTTAGGGCACCACAACACAAATGTCAAAGCTCTGTTAATTTTGAGTGCCTAGTTTGGGATACCTTGTTTGATTTTTTTCCCCCAGCACTTTCTATATCAAAACACAACCCTCCTTGACCTCACCTCAAATTTAGACATCAACAAACAGAGTTCAACTGATTACTCAAACTGGGCACTCAGACATAGGCCAGCTATAAAAATCCTGACTTCCCCTCATGTCACAAACTGTGACCTCAGGCAGGGATAAATTCATTTTTTCCCAGGAGCATTCACCTCTTCAAGCCCAACCTTTTTATTCCTTCAGTTCCTGATCACTAATAAATGGCACTGAGAATTAAAACAATCTTTGTATGCATTAGTAAGCTTCAGCCACTGGACAGAAAGGTCATTCTTGGCTAAACATCTGCAGCTGGAATGCACTTTGTAGCTGGTGAGGTAAAAACACATGCCTTGCCAGAACATTCCTTAGCTTCTGGCAACCAAGGGAATGGGCTGTGATGTGTGTGGGACAACCTTCACTGTACCTTTCCATCACTTTGGATCCCTGATCCACTGATTGGTAGGATTAAAATATATATGTATAAGTAAATAAAAGACCTGCTGCCTGATCCATCCAACTGCTGTGCTCCTGCATCCTTCTGGAAAACCTCAAACCTGTTCAATGGTCACTTTTGTTAGAAACTGGTATCCCTAGTTACAAAATAATTGTGGCATCAAGTTTAGTAAAACTGACAGTGAAAAACAGGAAAGAAAGTGCGAAAGAATTACACTATGAGGAGGAAAACGGGCAAAGGAGTTAAAAAAAGAAACCCCAAACGTAGTTCTGTGATGTCCAAATTACGGAGGACTGGCTTCCCACATCTTGTGTTGACAGTGAGAACCCGTGTCCCTGAAAAATGGGGTGTTTCCACCATCTCTCCCCTGATCAGCTTCTCAGTTACCCAGGTGAATCTGAGTCCATGTAGCCTTTCCTTCTGTGAGGGATCTCACAGGGTTGTACTTTATATATTGCTCCTCTCATTTCTCAACACTTAGAGGAACTTCATTTTTGCTCAACATTTCTACGGCCCAGTCGGATCTGACTGAAGTTGACCAATGCCTTGGCCAACGGCTCATCCTCTCATCACAGACTGAGGGTTTGATTGCACAAGCCTCATTTGCTCGGGAAATGAAGCTAAAGGTGATAAATAGGTGTGTATAAATTCCTGCCTTGAATTCCCTTTGCAGCCTCAAAGCAGGCTCCGAAAGCACTTATCCCCCATCTTTTCTGATTATATCAGTAACATACCCAGAGATTAGTCAAAGCAACATTCCTCTCCTAGCAACTAATTTAAGGCTTTTGAATATATTGGAGTCTCTTTTAGGTCCAAACCTTTCTATTTTGGGAGTTCCAATTCAAATTTGCCTAATAGCTTTGCATAATTGTCATTTGCTCCCAATAAATTCCTCATTTTAGCTTTAATTGGTTTGCTCATGAAGAATCACAATTTACACAAGGTGAAGAGGAGATATATCACTAGCTAATAATGGGTATAAGTAATATTTGATTAAATAGAGTGAGATACTAATTTGCTTTTTTTCCTCAGCATTTTTTAATGATGTTGTCAAATTCTAAAAGCAGATAAAGTATATTTACACCATAATGAATTTAATGCATTTGGAATAGGTATTAAAAACTACATGAGTTCAGTGTCCTCTTAAATTTACATTTTAACATTTTTTAACATTTTTTAACATTTTTAAATGTTAGCCAATTGTTCTCCAGTGCAAACTAATCAAAACTAAAGTCATAGGCTGATTTTATGGAAGGTGATGTAAGCAACAAGTGCAAACACAAGAAATTAAATCATTGAAGAGCTGCAATACTGAAGTATAAATCACCTTCAATGATTTCAAAGTCTCAGTCTCAAAATAAAGAATTGTCTCATTTTACTCAGCTGAGCTCAGCCTGAGGTGCCTGGTAGAGGAAAAAGCCCAGGGTAGCTCTGAAGGAGTCTGGGAGAGAGAAGGGACCTGGAGTTTGGGGGATGCTAAGAAACCTTCTGGGAACACTTTGTGAAAGAAACACTCATGGTTTGGAACAAAAGATTTTAAATGTAACTTTGAGTATCTTAGGAAGCTTTGTAAAGGCAAGGAAAAAAATTATGATTTTTTTTTTTTCCAACTATCACTATTTCAAAGCCATTACAGTTCCTTCCTGGGTGTCTAATGCAACATTTTGAAAACATTGGTCCTCAGATGGAGAGAAAGGCATTCTGATAAATTAAAATATAACAAACAGATATTTGAAATACACTTAGTTAAACCATACCACCTTGTGGTACTGACTGCTATTAATTACTGGTGTATGTAGAATATTTGTAGAATATTTGAATAAGAATTTTTTTAAGCTTCTTTGATGTAGTTTTTACTTTAAGGCCAGAATAATGCCTACGAAAAACATAGATTAATTAGTTAGATATTTTTAGAAAAAATAACTTTAGAGTATATCTTTGATTTTTTTTTTTTTTTTAATTAACTAACTCAAGCTAGTTTAGCTTGAGTCTTGGTTGGGTTTTGTTTTTCCTGTAATAAAATAGACTGGGAGAGAGAACTGTGTTTAGCCTAATTCTGAAGTTATGCCAATGTCTCACCTTTTTACACACCCCAGTGGGATTTGGGAGCACTGTTACCACAGACACACTCTGTGCCTTAATTAAGTGGCCTGGGCTGGGCTCTGGGAGAGGGAAAGGCCAAGAGCAGTGAAGGCCATGACACAGCACCCAAAACAAACTGAGGCAAACGACCTATGAAAAAATAAGTTATTATGGTGAGTAGGTTTAGGCTGACTGTTGGGGGAAACATTCTTCCCCATGAGAGTGATGAGGCCCTGGTACAGGTTGCCCAGAGCAGCTGTGGCTGCCCCATCCCTGGAAGTGTCCAAGGCCAGGTTGGACGGGGCTTGGAGCAACCTGGGCTAGTGGAAGGTGTCCCTGCCCATGGCAGGGGGTGGGAATGAGATGAGTTTTAACATCCCTTCCAACGCAGGCCATTCTGTGATTTTATGAAGGCTGTGCCTCAGGTGCTTGGCTATAAGAACAGGCTCTTTGGGGCTTTGCCTTCCCCTCACCTCTCAGCCCCAGACAGTGCTGGCTGTGCCACACAGACCATGAGCTGTGTGTCACCTCTGCTGTCACACAACTGCTGTCACACCCCCCCGTGTCACACATACCCCATGTCACACCCCTCGTGTCATACACACCCCTATTCATCCCCCTCCCCTCACACAGGGGGATGAGGCCCCCCCTTACTTGTTCTGGAGGATGAGGAGACGAAGATGTGAGGATGTGGGGGTATGGGGATGTGGGGGTGAGGGGATGTGGGGATGTGAGGTGTGGGGAAGTGAGGATGATGTGAGGATGTGGGGATATGGGGATGTGGGGGTGAGGGGATGTGGGGATGATGTGGGGATGATGTGAGGATGATGTGGGGGTGAGAGGATGTGGGGATGCGAGGATGATGTGAGGATGTGGGGATTTGGACATGTAGGGATGTGGAGATCTGGGGATATGAGGACGTGGAGATCTGGGGATGTGAGGTGTGAGGATGTGAGATGTGGGGATGTGAGGATGTAGGGAGGTGAGGACGTGGGGATGCGGGGATATGAGGACGCGTGGATGCAGGGGCGGGCGGGGAAGCATCGCCCCGCTCCGGACGGACGCTGCGGGCACCCAATGCGCTCCGGCGCCGCCGCCCCGGAGGGAGGGCAGAGCCCCGCGCTCGGACCCAATGAGGCCGCGCCCGGAGCGGGACTTCCTTCGGGGATCCCGCGGCAGGAGCCGCGGCGGGGCGGGGGACACGTAAGTGCGGGGCCAGGGAGGTGCCTTTGTTCCCGCATCCCGCGGTTCCAGCGCCGCCCCCGCCCGGGCCGCGGGGACCGGGGCAGGGACACGGGGCATCCCCAGCATGAGCCCCGCCGGCCCCGCTCCTGCCCGCGCCCGGGAACTCGCCCGGGGCACCGCGGCGGTGCCCAGGGGCTGAGGCTGCTCGGCCGGCCCCGCCTCCCTCCCTCCGTCCCTCCTTCCTCCCCTTCCTCCTCCTCCTCCTCCCGGGGCCTCCGATGCCGCCGCCTCCCGCCCGCTGCTGAGCCGTGACGGGCGGGGGCCCCGGGACCCCGCCGGGGACATGGGCAACGGGATGTGCTCCCGGAAACAGAAGCGGATTTTCCAGAGCCTGCTGCTCCTGACCGTGGTGTTCGGGTTCCTCTACGGGGCGATGCTCTACTACGAGCTGCAGGGCCAGCTCAGGAAGGCTGAGGCCACGGCGCTCAAGTACCAGCAGCATCAGGAGTCCCTCTCGGCTCAGCTACAAGGTACTTGCTCGGCAGGAGCCTCTGCTGCCCTTCCCCGGGGCTTGCAGAGCACCCTCCTCCTCCTCCTTCTCCGGGAGGTCTGGGCTCCAGCTGTCCAACCTCTCCCAAAGTTTTGCTCCCAATGTGTTTCTTCCCCTTCTCTTCCTCCGCCCTGTGGGGTTGTGATATCTCACCGTGGGTGGGATCCTAACCCTGCTGAGGTTTTGCCGTGGATTCCTAGACAACTCTCATTCCCCCTCACTCCCACACATTTTATAGTGACTCTTATTCCCAAAGGACTGCACATCCCTTTGCAATTCTTAGCATGAATGGAAGAAGCAGGTGGACTGCTTGCTGGCCGTCTAGCAGTGCAGACCATGTCCAGTGTGGGACTTTTGAGTGCTTCTGTGTTGTCATTGAAATGTTAATTTTATGCTGAACATTCAGCTGCAGTTCCTGGGCAGCATAAACTTAAATAAATTCAGGAGGGAGGAGAGGAGTGTTCTAATAAAGCATTTTTGAAAGGGTAATTTAAAAGTGAAGTTCAAATAAGTTATTTGGATAAGGCTAATCTATTACTTGTGGTATAACTTCGAATTTCTTGGCTTAAAGCTGCCACATAAATACAAGTCCTTGTGTATCTTGTTTTAAGGATGCACCAAATATGTGTGTCCTGTACTTGAAGGAAAAAGATGCCTGTGTCTGACATCAGTGTGTCCAGAAATCAGAAGCAAAGCAGCAAATATATACATGGAACATCAGTGGTCTGGGAAGTGCAAGACCTCAGCACCTCTCGAGTTGTCAAGTGCAAGGTTATTGGGTCAGCACAAAGCCCAGAGCCAACTTTCAAAAGAGTTTCATTTCTCAAGAAGGGTATAAAACAAGGATCAGAGGGATCTGCTGTAGCAGCTGTAACAGCACATAACTCCAGGGTGATCCTCAGCCATCCTTTCCCTGTGGAAGCACACATAAAAGCATGCCTGGAAGCACACAGTTTGTATGCAGAGAGCACAGAGCAGGGCTTATGCTCTTAGACTCTTACAGGGATTTGTTACTCCAGTATGTTTAGTCACGATCTGAGACCATCATTACTTAGTATTTCAATTTCAGGCCGTTTTCCAAGTAATACCATGGAAATATCTGCCAGAAACCTTCATTTTAGTCGCAAAAAAGGTGTAAATGTTTGGCTGGGAGATGGGTATGTGGCAGATGGCTAAAGGGCTACTTTTGCTAGGCTGTATATTTGCCAACAGAATTTGCAGAGGACACAGGAACATCTTGTTCTCGAGCTAAAATTTGACAGGTTGGCTTTTTCTGTTGCTTTGGCTTTACCAAAAGTTTGTTATGTGCAACAAACTTTATCCTGACACAGAGGAGAGATTCTCTGTATCTGATATATTAGGTCTGGACTGTTAAGTTTTAACTTTCCGTGTTTGAAACATTATTTTCAGTAGCCACCACCTACCCAAGTATGTTCATGGAAGCAGCAGGCAATTGGTAGTTGACAAATGTGGTGACAGAGCTGTGCCTTATGTAATTCTCTTGCTTGTTTCAATGTATCAATGGGAAATGTAAAATATTGACCAGAATCTGATAACATTAATAGATTTCACAATCAGTGCAATAAATTCACATGGTTCTGGGATCCAGGCCAGTCTATCAAGCCTAATAAGCAGGAGATTTTATCTATGCCAAGTATGGTAGCAGTAAACCTTGTTTAAAAAAAGTAATTACTAGCAATTAAGTCACAGAATGGAGGGAAAAATATAATGTAACAATAAAATAGTTCTTTAAATTTTCCTGTGTTATGAAGGTAGCTGTTATACCTGAGAGAGGGTGAGGCTGAGAGCCCAGAGAAAAACTAAATGCAGCAGCAACCATTGTACTGCCTAATGTCCCACTAAAGTAAAGGGAAGGTATCTGCCTGTGGACTTCAGAGGATTTGGGAAATAAACTTTTCTTCCCTTTCTTAGTGACTCTTTCTGAAGTGGCCTACCCTGTATAATCACCTGGGTTTCTGCAGTAGGAGTTGGTTAGTGAGGAGAACATGGGGAATTCAGAGCCTGTGCCTGAGCCCAGCTCACCCAGAGAGACACAAGCACGGTGTGAACTGGTGGTGTCCGACACCAATCCCGTTTCTGAACCTCTCCTGTTTAACTCTTTCATGTGGAACAACAGGAAGGAATTTTCTTTAAACCGAGAGTTCGAAGCAGCGTAAAATGTTGACAGAAAATCCTGTTTACAGGTGCAGTACGTGACTGCACTTTGAACTTTTGAATTTAAATGACCCGGACTTTAAATTAACAGCGTTCCGGTTGCCAAATAGAAAAGACCTCTAAGAATATCTGAGCTACATCTGTTCTTCGAGTTTATTATTTTATGGGAACAATAAAATAAAGTAGCGCATTAATAATGATACAACTTTTATTTTCCATGCAGCATAATCTATAGATTCTGGACTAGAGGTGATTTTGGGGCCTGAAGTGTGATGGAAACACTTGGAAATCTTTTAAACAGGAACCAGTTAAAGGGCAAAGTCACTGACGTAGCACTGCCAAGAGGGCAGGAGGTTGCTGTACCAACAGGGGTTGATTTCTTGGTGTTCACTGCCCTTCTGGGTGATTAAATCAGACTTTAAACTCATTACAAGCCGAGAAGAGAAACATATCTTGGACTTCCACATCCTGAAGAACTAATTCATCAGGAAGCTTTTATTGTTTTAAATATAAACTAACAAAATAAACTTCTTAAAGTGTGTTTTTGAGGCTTCTGGCATGCTGGCTGTGCTCCTGGAAGTCTGACTGCATTGAAATGCTTGGGTGACAGTGAAATATCACCTGTTATCTGAGGGTTTGTAGGGTTTTGTTGTGACTGCTGGTGCCTGCAAAGGCAGTTGCTTTCCTGGTTGTTCACAGAGGAGCACTGTCAGGGCTTGTGGGTGAAACTTGAGTCTGTGAAATGCCTGAGGATCACGGGCAGCTCCTGAGTTTATGTGCACGGTGGGAGTTTGGGATGTGAGTGCCTTTGGTCTGCCCACAATCTCAATCAGGATCCTCAGCTGTAGCTCAGAGTGCAGCTCCCTTTACTTCCTCTTGTCACCTCTACTGTTTTTCCTGGGTTTTTAGGGTTTTTTCATCCATGTAGGTAATAAGAACCTTCTTTTTGGTACTTGCCAGTTCTTCATGCCCGAATGAGCTGTGCTTTCTGTTTTTGCTGGAAAAGCCAGTTGACTTAGATGTTTATCTTTTTCATTGCCTTGTTTTGCTCAAACACAGCACGTGAAACAGGCTCAATACATGGGAAAACAGCTCTCATCTACCAAGGCAGAATGTACAGGTCACTGAGAAATGGTGCAGGAAGAGGTCTCAAAATCTTTTAACACATGAAGAGAGCTGCACATGGCTGCTGTTGTGGGGAGTTCTGCCTTCTCTGGTGTGCACAGCCTCAGCTACTCAGCTGAGAAGTGTTTGTGCCCCTTGGAATAAGAGCAGGGTGTGATGGGAAGGATGGCAGACTTGGGGAACACAATAAGAATAACTGGTGTGGAGAAGCTGGGGTTTTAAACTCACCCCCATTAGAAGCTCATGTTGTAGAAGGTTTTGTAGAAGAGTATCAAACTTTGGCATTTCTGCTGGGCATGGAGAAAGTAGGGCTGCTTTTGCAACCCTCAGATGGAGTACCAGGGCAAAATTTAGAGATGGGGCAAAATTTAGAGATGTCACAAAATTTTTTGACTGCTAAGAAAATCTAAAGTCATTGTGATCTGTAAGGTCTTTCATAGAGAAGCTGATCTTCCCACTAAGATGATTATTTTTAAATCTCATTCTCTGAGCATTATATGTTTGAAATGTGAAGATAATCTTGCTTAGTATTTCTTCAATTGATAAAACCAAAACTTGATGCTCTTTGCCTCCTACCAAGATGTGTCAAACTAAGTCTTGAGCTATTGGCTTTATAGAAACAGGCTTCAGCTGCTAGAACAGAAACACACAGATGGCTGTGGGTGAACCTCATTGTATCTGTGACTGCTGCAAGATTGAATGTATCTACAAATGTCTTTTTAGCCCTTGCAGCTTCTGTCTTCTCATCCTCCTGGTGTTAAGTACTGTTTTAATCTGTTTAATCTGTTTTAATCCCTAATCCTTATAACAACCTACATTTAGTGCTTTGTACTATCTTAATTTTCCTGCTCTTTCTCTGAGAGTCTGAATGTATCTGACAGCTTTGAGCAGTCCCTGTGCAGCCTCAGACTGGGCTGTAATTCTGGGAGCCAGCCGAGCAGGGACTCTGAACTTGAGAATATTCAAGGTGTGGATTTCCTCAAAGCTTTCTTATCCAGTGCTAGAAAGCACTAGCTGAAAAGATAATATAGATTCCTCTGTGCCCGTTGTGCCATTTGTCCCAAACCAGGACCCCTGTTGGAGGTGACCTGCCAGAAGCTGATCAGATCCAGAGCAGCTCTGTGTATGTAGACTTGCATAATGTATCCCAGTGCTAGATCATAGTTCTGTGTCACTTTAGTGGTTAATATTTATTATGTCTGCATGCAAACTACAGAGATGCCAAAGCTGCTCTCAGTGAAGCACAGAGAGATGGGGATGTACTTCACTCTCACACCCTTCTTTGATAATACACTATTTAAACTTGTACCTTAAGCTGGCAGAGCTAGGAAGAACTAACTTTTGATGGCTTATTTTTCACATGCATCATACAAGCAGAGCTACATCTCCACAGCTCCTGTGTGGTTGGTTGTTCTCCACAATAACAGCCTGAATTCCTGTCATTCCTGGGAGTTTCAGGTTGCATGTAATGCTACAGTGCTTATTTTATTGTGTTTTGCTGCTATCTGAGATCTGGGAGATCCATGGCAGCACTGTAATAGCAGAGGTTGGTTCTGTGTCTGCTGTTGGCACACAAATGTACTTCAACACCAGGTGCAGGGCTGCATGAAGTGGCAGATACATCATCCCAAATTCTGCTACCTGGCTTCCTGAAATGGGACATTTTGTTTTGTAACCTCC